TTCTATTTGTCCCTTTAGGTAGATCCTCTATCAAAGATTATGGAAGAACATGGACAAGAATTGTGTAAAATGAGGAAGCATGGATAGTTTTGATCTGCCTATACTATTGCTGTTACACCTCCAAAGGAGAATTGAAAAATGTATATACTAAGCACTCTATTGGAAGGGTCCTGAAGTAGTTAACTTGAATTTCACTATTGCTTCTGTTATACATAGATAATTTTTCTCCATCTGGCTATAGGAAAAACTGTCTGGTACAATGTTGCAAAGATGATGGAGTTTGAGTCACATCATAATTCAACTCAATTAAATTCAATAAACATTTATTAAGCTTTTACTATGGTCCTGACACAAACACAAAAAATAATATGAGGCCCTGGCCTGGGGTGCTTACATTCTGCTCAGCATTAAGTTCCATTGAATTAGCCTATGTAGCATATGTTAACATTTCCCTTCCCAACCTTAGCTGAGTGTCTCTATTACCAAGCAGGAAATATCAACAAATCAATAAATACTCTTCCTTCTTGGCCTCCACTTCACAGGCTTCTATCATTGCCAGTGGGAGGAAACAGAAATATAGAAAAGGATGCATCTTGATTATTTTTAAATGGCCATATTCCATATTTTAGGAAAGATTTACAAATCAAAAACTTCACATATTCATGGTATGGGGCCAAAGGGATTTCTCATTCTCTAATTTGACTGGTGAGATCATTTTAATAGTTAAAAAGGTAGTGCAAGACAATGTACTAAACCATACAGAACATACCATACAGTAGTTGAACATATACATTCTAGAAAATCATTATCTAAAATGGAAATGGTGTTTAGTTCAACTATCTCTTCCCCCGTTTGCCATCTCCCTCGCAAAAAGAACGACTTTTCAAATAGACATTCTTTTAATATTGGGTTGTTGTTGTTAGAGAAGTGGATAAATATCTGATTTTTGGCTTAACTTTAATAATAATAAATATAATATATTTAAATATGATAATTTACATATTTAAATATAATAATTTAATAAACAGTTAGTATTTATGTAATTCTTTAAGGTTTGCAAAGTATTTTACACCTATTATCTTGGTTGAGCTTCATGACAATGCTACCGGCAGGGATGCTGGAAAATATTTAACGATCAACTCTGGAGAAAAAAAGTATACACAGCACACTTTTATGTTTAATCTGCTTTTTTAACATTGTCTCTATCACTTTTCTTCTTAAGTCTAGACAACCAACAAAACAATAAATCAGGGCCTGATCTGCAGTGTTTGCTGATTTCTGAGATGTAAATGCTCACACTGGAGATTTAGCAATAGGTCCCACAAGCTGGTTTCAGCTGGCCCTGATACACCCCTGATACAGCTATTATTAGCCTCAGTGCACCAACAAGGAAACTGAAAACCAGAGTTCAGCGTAAAGCATTGCACTGTCCCATAAGACTCCCATTTTACTGGATGTTGTGGCTATGGTTAAAGAGGACACAACTTGATAATACCAACTATCTGGGGATCAGTTTAATAACCAAAAGTATTGTAACTGGCTTCTGCCATACTAGGACAGAATGATTCCTAGCCACTAGGGATTTATAACGGACGTATTATAACGGACAGATGGGGAAAAAATTAAGGCTGAAATCATACTGTACCTCCTTTTGAAAATGTTCAACTATGGGTTTGGGGTAGGGATTTTTTGTTTTTGCTTTCCCAAATGTATTCTGCTTAGCTGAATCTCAAGTCATTTCAGTCGAAGTTGTGTTTGTCATTTCCAAGAAGGAATAGAAGTACAGGTGAAAAAGATCTCAGGAGAAATTTGTTCTTGTGAAGCCTTTCTGTTACAAGGTATTTTCCCTCAGGGTTCAAATCCATTTCAGATAATCATTTTGAACTTGGGGATGAACCAAACTTCAACTCAGGATTGGGCTTTTTGTGGGGTCAGCCCTTCCATTTAGGATAAGACAAGGCTTAAAGTGACAAACCAGGCTAGGTCAGATGTTCAATACTTGGCAAAGGTGTCAGTGTCTGCCCAGAAACAATGTTGACAAGATGGCAGGCTTTACAATAAATCCCCTGTGGTGAATATTGATATCACTCTGTTTTTTTTTCTCTTTGTCTTGCAGCCAGCTTAGCTTCTTCCTGCAGGGCATGCCAATCACACCCAACAACATTTACTAGCAACAGCAGGGAACAAGCCATAGGCCAGGATTGATTCCCAGCAACTGGAGCCAGTCCTTGGCACAGGCATAGGCAGAAGAGGCCTGACTCCTTCTCTCTCCAGAAGGAGATGAGGCACACGTACCTCATCAATCAAAAGACCACTGAAACTAGCCCAGTCTGGGTGGAGTTCTACTTCAATAAATCCATGAATCTGAATGCGAATGCTCCTTCCAACCATGCAGAACATAAGCCTTGCCAGCCTGCTCATCCTGTGAAACTTTCACCCATGTCCTCCCATGAATCCTCTGCAGGGCATCTAGCCAACATTCATGGAGCCTTAGTATAGATCTGCTAGAATGGCATGTTGACCGATGGAATGCATGGGCTTCTATTAGTTATACCTCAACCTTGCTAAATTAATGACCTATCTTCTTTACTATCCAGAACTTTCCCAACTGTACAAGTTAATTAATAGTTAATCATTTTGTGCTCATCTTTGCTTAATTCAATGGCCTAACTCTATGGAGACGACCTTCCTCTTCCCCACATTGGATCATGTTCAGTTCAAGTCAAATCTATAGCAAAAATGTATTAAGAACCAACCATATTCCAGACACTGTGCTAGGCACTAGGTATACCCCAAAAAAAAAAAGTAATGTTCTCAAGAAGTTTATATTGTACTAAGTCAGAGGGGGTGAAAAGATTGCAGACGAGTGCAAAATATAACAACAATAGTAATAATTAGCACCTTTAAGACTTGCAAATTGTTTTCCATGTGTTACCTCATTATATCTTCATAACATCCGTTTGAGGTAGATGCTATTATCCCCATTTTACAGATGAAGAAACTGGCTCCCAAAGAGGTTAAGTGACTTGCCCAATAAAACACAGCTAGTGTCTCATGCGGGATTTGGTTTGATTCTAGGCCTAATACACTTGTATTTGAAATAATACCAATGTTTCCTGGGACTAAGCTCTAGAAGGAATATTATAGATAATCTAATCCAACTAATTTATTTTACAGATAAGAAAAGTAGACTGAGAAAGACTGAATGACTTGCCCAAAAGTTTGAAACAGGGAAAAGACTCAAATTTATGTCTTCTGTCTCAATCCATGAGACCTCTGCTAACTCCTACTCATGAAGAAATTCTTTTCAGCCAACGCTTTTGGAAAGACTGACTGACTGACGTGAGACAACACCAGTTGTCAAAAATGGTCAACAAGAAGCTGATCTTGAACGGCCAGTGCTACATAACGCGTACTTAATAAATTGTCATTGAATCAAATCAAAAGAACGTGGTACAATGTTCTGCCTGTAGCTGACAGGGAATAAATGCCTTTCAACTAAACTAAAACCATAACAAAAGCTGAAAGCCAAATCCAGGTTCTATCTGATATAAATCTACAGCATTAAAAAAATAAAGACCATAAAAATCAGAAGCTACTTAATCAGAAAGCTTTAGAAAACAGCTTATGAAAAAAGTAGAAGGGACAGTTTCAGAGAAACCTGGGAAACCGTGTATGAACCGAGGCAGAGTAAAATGAAAAGAACTAAAGGAACAATTTATACAATAGCAACATTGTAAAGATAAACTCTTAAGAACTCTAATGAACAAAATGACTAATCATTATCCAGAGGACCAATTATTAAGAATGTTACCCACTTCCTGACAGAGTGGTAATGGACTAAATATGCAGAATGAAGCACTTATTTATGGATAGTTGAGAGATTTGTTTTGCTTAGCTGTACCTATTTTATAAGAGTGTGCTTTCATTTAAAAAAAAAGTTAGTGTGTGGGTGGGGAGTGGGAGGGAGAGTAAATAAATGATTGTTATTTTTTTTTAAATTGATCTTTAAAAAGAATCAGAGGTGACCACTATAGGACAGTTGGGTTGTAGGTGGAGAGGGGATATTCTTTGCAATATAAAATCCACTAAGATTCATGTCAACCGGACCAAGTGGTATTTCAGTTCATCAGTCAGTAAAAATTTATTAAGTATGTACCATGTGCTAGGCATTGTGCTAAGCACTAGAGATTCAAGAAAAGACAAAAGACAGTCCCAGGGCAGCTAGGTGGCACAGTGGATAGAGCACTAACCCTAGACTCAGGAGGACCTGAGTTTAAATCCTGCCCCAGACACAACACTTAACTAGCTGTTGTGACCCTGGGCAAGTCATTTAACCTCATTGCCTAGTCAAAAAAAAAAAACAAGGAGGAAGAATACACTGCATTAAAAAGTGGAAGGGCGGGGGTATCCAATACCATAGAGAAAGAAAGAAGGAAGGAAGGAAGGAAAAAGGGAAGGAAAGAAAAAAGGAAAGAAGAACAAGGGAAGCATAAAGGAATGGAAAGGACAGAGGAGTGAAGAAAAAAAGGAAAAACAAGGAATTTATTTCATTGGCAACCCATGGAGAAATAACTCTGATGACAGCACACACATAACCCAATTAATTGTTTTTTTGTTTTTTCCCATAATGCTCAATAGCACTCCAATTTGCTGGGGCAAAACACCCTCCTCAGGAAAGTGAAATAAAACATATGGGAGGAAACAAGGAACTCTTGTCAAAATTATTCTACTGTGAAATTAGTTACATTCCACAGGAAAATATAATAACACTACAGGTTTCTTCCTCTAATGACTCTCCCATGTGCTGCTATGGAAAAAGAAAAAAAAAAGCAAAAAGCTGGTGTTCATTCAGCTTGATGAGCCACGAGTGCCGCTGGCTCCCCAAACCCATTCATGTTTGATGGGGCTCAGTCCACTGCCATCCTTATCAAGCCCGAGTGGATACTTTCTTCAGCTCGTTGAATAAAACATCCCTATCAGTCAACAATGTCTGTGTCTCTGCTAACAATAACACTGCTACTCATCCCCCTCCAAAAACACAAAAACATTCAAAATAAGTGGAGGAGGATTCCCTTCCAAATAGAATATACAAGAAGGAGAAGTAGCCAATCGAGAAATGCCAAAATGGACTGTTTCCTGGAAGGGTTTCAACATTTCTTAAATACTCTGTGAGAAGCTAACTGAACTGCAGCCATACCGTCCGTCAAGCATGGAACTTGGGGATTTGTTTCTGTTTCCATCTTGTCGCAGCCAGCATAAACTGAGATTCTTCCACAAGGTAAATACCTAATTTAATTTTTGCTGGCACTATTGGCTCTCTTCATGTTTGATTTATTTGTCCCTATTTGGATACAGATCTTTAAAGCCTTTGTGAACACAAAATGTTACAAGGAACCGTGGCCTGAGAGCAAGTCTTATGACTTCTATCATTCTCTCTCTTTTGTCCTTTGGGTCACTCAGAGCATTGACTCCTTGGAGATTGTGGTATTTAAAAATTCAGAGCATTGCCAGGAGAACATCAATATGGAATAGTTTGAGATCATTAAAAATATTACAGAATGTACCACTTGGAATACATCCCACACCCCCCCACACACATTTATTCCTAGTAATTTATGGACTATACACTGTCTGTCCCAAGTATATATAGTAATGTACTAACTCAGTAAGTCAGCCATCAGAATTGCAAGTCACAATTTGAGCAACAGGCATTTTTCATCCATTTAGTTTTTCCTATACAGATTCCTAGGCACTGGCTTTTGAATAATCATATACCTCATCGAGAGTAAGATTTTTATCTTATAAACAGCTCAAGGCAAAGGACATTTCAAGAATTCTAAAGTTGGAAAGGACTTCAGCATTCATCTACTTATACTTGAAACAGAAATTTCTCCTACAATGTTGCTGCTTAAAGACATCCTGAGTTAGGTAATTGAATACTTCTCAAGGCAGCCCATGCAACCTTTTCAGAAATTTATTTTCTCCAGTTGTATCTGACTCTTCTTGACCCCATTTCAGGTTTTTCTTAGCAAAGATACTGAAGTAGTTTGTTATTTCCTTCTCCAGATCATTTTACAGATGGAGAAACTGAGGCAACTCTAATTATTAGTAATTATTCATGGAATTATATAAAAATCTGCCTTCCACTGCCTCCCATTCTGCCTTCTGGGCCAAGCAAAAGAAGTATAATTTTATTTCTGGGTCTTCAGGTTATGGAGTAAATGAGGGAACATGTATAAATTTTGCTTAGCAACTAGCTTAAAAAAGCATATGCCTGGCTTGCTTTGTGGAAATAGTCAATGCTTTTGAATTTCGTCTGAATTTTCATCTAATATATATAACATTCTTACTGTCTCTGAATGGATTCACTCAGGAATTTAAATACACAATTAAAACATATTAAGTGCTCACCTGAATAGGTATAAATGATACCTATTTAAAAAGCTGTGATGAGAAATGTTCTTTGGCAAAGCCCTAGGCCAATTTGTGTTACTATCATTACTATTACTGTTATAAATCCAGTTCAATTTGATGAGCATTTATTAGGAACCTCTCTGTAACAGGATTCACTCTGAGCACTGGGTATATAAAGATAAAAATGAAGCCATTCCTGCCCTCAAGTCAGTGTGTATTTTTACTGGGGGATTTAGGTGGAATCACATATACACGGGTAAGTCCATTCAAATTTTTATTAAGGAAATACAAAGTAACAGGTCAGAAGTGACATCATGTAGGTAATGTCAGTTGGGCTGAGTTTTGAAAACTCCCAAGAGTCAGTTCTAAAGAGGGAAAGGAGGCCAAGTATAGGAGACAGCCTGGGCAGGCAAGGGGAAGGTGAAATGTTATACAGCTATTCCTTCGACATTGTATCTTTTGCCATTACTATTTCAATATATTGTGGATCAGTATAAGAAATTAAATGGGAATTTTGGGGGAGTTTTGTGGAAGTCACAGACAATGCACAAAGGCTAGCAGATGACACAGAGCCTATGATTAAATACTTAAACCAAATTTTACAATAAGGTACTGTAAACACCCCATAAAAGAAAATGAAAAATTCAGACTTCTTCTCTGCTACAGAGGAAGGGCCAAAAAAATTTACTGGATTTTCCAGATCATGGGGGCACTGAACCCCCCTGCAACCCCATGATGTGGAAGGAATAACTGTATTCAGAGAACAACAAAACACTGGTTGACGAAAATGTGGAATAATTTAGAGGGGGTAATAGAATATCAATCTGGAAAGACAGGGAGGAATCACATTGTGAAGGGCTTAAAGTTACTTCAAAACATCAAAGATAAATAATTTTATCAGTATGGGGTATTCTCTCTATTAATGCAAAATGCAGATTTTCTAAAACATAAGTAGCTGATAGCTCCTTGAGGGCAGGAACTATCTTTTGCCTCTTTTTGTATCCCTAATGCTTAGCTCAGTGCCTGACATGTGAAAATGTTTATTGATTGATTGACTCAAGAGTTGCTGTGGTGAGAAAAATCACCCACTTGTAGCCAGCCTAGTGATGAGGTTCTCTGAAATTAGACAGACTGATTCTTGGACAAAAGTTATATAGCCCATCAATAGGCTTCTACTCAAAGACTTTAGGCTTTGTAAGACTTGCCAATCATGAACTCCAGTAACTTGGCCTTCTAGAGCCCAGGGTGATCTCTGTTGCAGTATAAGAGGTTGAGAGGTTGTGACCCCTCAAAGACTGGAGTACAGGACAGGTCGTCTGGAATGAATTCATAGACTCAAGCATTCTTTAATTCAAGGTGGCAAAGTTTATTGTTACACTTTTCAGCGGGCAAGGATCCTTAAGGATCCTGCGAGAGACTGAGAATGCAGCTAGGGTTTATATGGAAAAGAGCATGGGAAAGTAATGCCAGGAACACTGATGAGGTAATCCAAAGGTGCAGGTGTCTTCGGAGGCTATGGATGGGAAAGCACAGGGAGTATACCAGACAGGGAGGGAGATGACAGAGGTATGGTTCTTTGGATTCTGGCAGGAGGAAGAGTCCTTGGGCTGGCCAAGGACAAAACTCCTTGGGCTGGGCAAGGCACCCTCTCCCTCTGTCTTGATGAGAGAATGTTCTGCAACAAGGGAAAGCTTTCTTACAAGACAGGAACTACTAAGGAATTGGGAGACTTCCAGAGACATGATCTGAGGGCTGGGGCCTGAGCAGCCCAGCTCTGTGTAGCTGTACCAGGGAGAGAGATAAGGGTCATGCTGAGGCCCATGCATGAATAACTGCTAGGCACAGTGTCCTTGGGCTGGGGAGTGGTTGTCAGAGGCAGTGTTTCTGAGGCTAGGGAGAAATTAGGGTACAAGCACAAGCACCCAAACACAAGCACCAAAGCACCCCATCATCTCCACACTAAAATGGTGCATTAGTAGAGGACTTTTCTGCCAAACTGCTCTCATTACTATTGTTTTATTACTACAATTCTGCCAGATAAACTCAAAAAAGCTTCAGTTTCATTTTTCTTTGTAATTTTTCCTACCATAACCAGGAAACAAAACAGTTCCACCACAAAGTAAAATAGCTTTGGAAAGAATGAACTAAACCATTTTAAACTTCAAAAGGGTTGCAGGTCACATTTTGATTGCAGTTCAGGTTACTTCTTCATTTAATTTGAACTATTCCAAAATCCTCAAGCAACCTCTTTTTTCCTCTCTTATGGACATAAGGTAAAAAGGAAAGCCAAAAAATTTTACATGGATGTGGATATGCAAATCTGAACTTGTAATCTATTTAAGTAATACTCAGCTCTCACTTGAACCTCAGTGCCCTTTAGTAAAATATATGGCATAAGGATGAAAGATTATTATGTATAGTATGTATTTTTAAACTAACCGTATCTGTTTATTATTTTGGAATCTAAGATCACTAAATATCTAACTAGACGGTTCAGAAGAATTGTATTTTACTCCTTAATCAGCTTCTGCTTGTTATATGACCTTGAGCAAACCATTTCTTTAACCTTGGTCATATAGGTTAAGTATAAAAGTTTCTGTACTTGTCTACCTACTCACATATTGACTTCCATGATATGTTGTTATCATAAAGCATAAATGTATGACATTTGACTTTTATAAAAACTTCTGACCCTTGGATACCTAGAAAGATGGACAAAATGCAAAGCAATTATTCTCACTGAGCTGCATTTTGGCCAAAATTGTAGAACTTTACTAGGAATGTCACCTATAGGCATTTTATACTGATTACTATTCACACTCTACCCTGTACCCACCAGGAACAGTGCTTTGACAGAAATATGCTGTCTCTTAGAGCTCTCACAAAGATGAAATAGAATTCTTGGAATTCTTAAACTAACCAGCAGCAACATAATGGCAAATACAAGAATACTGTATTTTCACTAAACTTACATTTGGAGTTTTCATGATTTCTTGATGGAGTTATAACTAAAAACATTTACTTCTTTAAAAAGTAGCATGAATTGTACCCAGGGCAAGTAGTAAAAAAATGTGCCCTCAGTTCACTTGTGATGGGGAAGTTCCAGAGGAAGTGAGAGAGATCTGTGGCACAGGGCTGAGATAGACCCCACCTAAGATGCAGTTAACAAGGGGAGGAAGTACCATCTTGTAGCTTTATTTGTAAACTAATGATCCTTCCAAAATTTAGTTGTTTCTATGTTGCTGAATGACTGCAGGTGTTATCAGTACCCTCTCCATGTTGGTGCTTTGGGACATAGCCTATATCATAGCCTAGTTTCAGCTTTGCTTCAACGGTATCGTGATACACGGTTGACTTGGTTTTCGTGGAATTTGCTCTATAAAAACAACCAAAACAACCTCTGACATAACACTTTAGAAAATTCATTAAGAGAACATTACCCAAATATATAAAATCTATATAAAAGTCTATCTTCTCCAGAGTCTGTCTAAAGAAATGATGTCTAAAGATTTTATTAACTGATTGTTCAAATGTGTGCCAGGGAAACAAAAAGCTTGCTTCTTGCTGACTCAGAAGAAGATTCCTTACATTATGGGCTGAGAAGACCTAAGCTGTCTGTAAAAGAAAGAACATGTCACTTAAAGTAATATAGGAGAATTGCCTCATAATTCATCTCTACACCTCGGTTCTACCACTCTGGCAAGAGGAGCAGAAGTCAATAGGCTATTCATTTGGGAAAAATAGTGCCTAGTCACCTGCTTTGGGGGCTCATCACATACTAAAATCAGGTTGTAAAGGTGCTCAGCTTGAAAAAAAAAACTGTTTCAAAAACATTGTTCAATATAGTCAACTGATAATAAACTC